TGTGTGTGTGTGTGTGTGTGTGCGTGTGTGACTGCGTGTGTGTGTGTGTGTGTGAGACTGGGTGTGTCTGTGAGGGTAACTAACAGTAGACCGGCTGCTGATTAAAGAGAGAAATGTGACTCGTGGGAGTGGAAGCTAAGTGCAAATCCTGATGCTGGCGATGCTAACAAGGAGGAGGAGGAGGAGGAGGAGGAGAAGGGAACAGACTCACATGGGACTGGTTTAATGGTAAATCGATGGCGGATGGAGGGAGGAGAGAAGGAGGGAGTTAGTGCAGAACCGTTGATGTTATCTGGATGTTTTTAGGGATCTCGTCCTTTTTAGTTTCACGCCAGTGAAATGCGTTAAAGAGAGAACACGTTGTTCTGTCTCGGCTTTCTGCTGCTTGAGTCTCATCGATGCTTTGATTTAAAATAATATCATGTGGTCGTATTGATCCAGTCTAATCCACATCAGTCACATTCATTTAACCCTTTGAAGCGTTATCATTCTTCTCTATTCTGTCACTTCTTAGAGATATTTGTACTTTTGAGTATTTCCTTTTTCTGCTACTTTACATTTCTACAGAAGCTTTCAAACAAGGTTTGTTTTGATTATCAACGACCCCATTTCTGTTTTAAATAACATTTCTTAAGTCATGAAGATGACCGAAATCATGACCGATGTCTTCACAACTTCCTTTCCTCTTTGTCGCAGTAAAGAACCCCAACAGCTCCAGTCAGACCAGTGAGCACACACCGAGCACACGGGCTGCATTTCACATCAAGTCTAAACTGTTGAATCAGACGAGACAGAAACAGAGACGAACAGCACAGATGGAAGACAGAACTCCTCAACCTGCTCCAGTTTAAGTCCAGACCAGTTATTCAGAAGTTATTAATAATCTGAGTTTCCGTGAGTCACACCTGTCATCAAGTCCTCAGAAGTGAACACAGTGATGTTGTTATAATACATAAAAACAATCCCGTAATGTTGTTATATTTGGTGCACAGTCATCAGCAGTTATTCTCTTAATGTATTCTGACCGTCTCTCATCACAAAACGACGAGTTTATTCTCAAATATAAAATGAATCATGATATCTGTTAGTAGTACCGGAAATAGTTGGAACGGGTGGCGAGCGTCAGAAAAAGGTTTATGTATATATATATATATATATATATATATATATATATATATATATGAAGCATCTGCCTCCTGATGACTGAGCTCTGACGTCACCGGGCTCTTAATTGAGTCTCACGCTGAGGTTCTACTGCAGCTGTCGGCGCTGCTGGAGGAGATAATCCTCCTCTGCTGCGTCTTTATTTAGTTCTTTAATCAGCACTTCCTCTTTCTGTGAAGCAGAAGATTAACGTGTTCCGTCAGACTGGCAAACTAAAAAATGCCGAGGTGTTTGGATTTTGTTGAGGTAATTTCCTAGAATGATATAAGTACGGAAGACCAAAGATGTCTAATGTCAAAATGAAATGAATATCTGAAAGTGTTGAGATCAGCTCAGGTCCACACTGAGCTGGTTCAGAACATGTTAGGATATGTATTAAATTAAAGTGCTTTACATATCAGGGTGTGTTGTACAAACATCACAAAAACAAGAAATACTCTTCTACAAATATATGTGTCTAGGGCTTTTATTGTGAAAGGTAAGATCTGGTCTGCTTTGGTGTACCTTTGAATGTTTATTCTGTGTGAAAGCTCAGAAAAATCCACTTTGTTCGGGAACAAGAAATGCGAGTTACTGTGTAACATTAGTTCTGTGTGAAAGTTTTTCCAATAAAAAATCGGGTCGAAAAAATACGTTGACGTTGAATTAATCAAAAAACAACAAAAAATACCTGAAATGTTGCATTTATATATTATTGTATTTTATAGTCATATCGGTGATATTTGATCCTCACTTCTGCACTATTTTAGGTATTAGTTTCTCATTTTCCTGTTTTTATTATTTTCTTGCAAATAGTTTGATTATTAATAAAAGGAAGCAACAACTAACTGAGTAAAGATAAATACTTTAACACATGTTTGTATAGAGAACAGGATCAGGGCCACATGGGAACAATAATGTGAGTTCTGAGTTTTAAGTCAGAATTAGTGTTTAAACAAAACTAAAAGAAAACCTGTTTCCACATGTGGCCGTATTTATCTTCCATACTTTTATAAATCTAATCAAACACACAGACAGATGCTTTGAGTTAACAACATCTCACTATTTCCACCTTTGTTCATGACGGACATGACTCATAGTTGACTCAGGTACACACAGGTGAGTTTAGGCTCTTGTGAGGACATTCTCAGTCGAGTCTCCTCGCTGTGATTCAGGCTCTGGAAACAGACGCAAACATCTGAACGTGGTCTGGAGCAGCGTCGATGGCGCTTTAGAAGTACATTGGATAGAAGTTGAGATCTGCTGAATGAGATGTCCTTGAGAGGTAAAAAGCACTCTTTTGTAATTCTTCATCAAAAGGAAGTAACGCAGCCTTCTCTCTCCCGGGGGGGTCAGAGGTCAGAGTGGGCGCTCGGTATCTTCTGGTGTTTCAGGAGGTGGAGGACAGCAGCCTGCTGACTAAGGGTTAAACTGACATTTACAGCTGACGCCAAAACACCGTCAGTCTGCAGGGAGGAGAGTAAATAACAAGAAATCTAGAGAGAAGGACGCTCGGACACGTCCTAATACCGTTTGGTTTGAAGCATCAGAACACAGTTATTGATGAGATCATGTTTTTAGTTTATTTTGACATTCAGAGCTTCTTTCAATGAAACTTGGTTTGTCATATTTTACGATGAGGGCCATGACATCATACCTGTTTGAACAGGAATGACATCACATTAATTCATTAATAACTGCGTTTCCACCCAAAAAAAGTTCCTGGTATTTTAAGTCTCGCAACTGCTTTAAAGTAACTAAAAGGTTCCTTCAGGTGGTCGTCTGTATTTACTGAAGCACGATGAATGTAAGAAGTGGGCGGAGTCATCGTGTCGTCTCTCGTTGGTTTTGAAAACTTGACTTCGGCATTTTGTTTTTTTTTGCAACCAATAAACAGGAAGTGAGCATATCTGGACTGAGGAGGAGTGACATAGAGAAGCCGTATACGTCTCTGGTAGAGACCTGTCAATCACCGTGTAGCCCCGCCCTAAAGCATCCCCTGCTTTATGGTCTGTGTGACTCTAAATGGACCATAATGTACTAAATGAACATCATGCTGTAGTGAAGAAGACTTGAAACTAGAGATTGAGACCATAAACTCATGTTTACAATGTTTACTGAGGTAATAAATCAAGAGAGAAGTAGAGTCATTTTCTCATAGACTTCTATACAACCAGAGGAGTCGCCCCCTGGTGGTCACTAGAGAGAATGCAGCTTTAACACACTTCCTACAAGGCAGAACCTGAGGTTGCTGCCTGGTTTGACCAATCATCCCTGCAAACCCCACCCCTAAAGTTCCTCTACTTACCGGAAGTATTTACCTCCTGACCAGGGTCTTGTTGGGGGATAAGACGTCCCTGTAACTAACTGTAGACTCTGGTTCCTGCTGTCAAAACGTGGCTATTGACACCGTTTGGTGGAACCTTTAACAATGTGTCTTCTCAGAAACCGTTGTTCGCTTTGATAAAATATTTGTTGTGACATTTCTGTCATCTCCAGTGATTAGACAGCGTTCTTCATCTGTGATCCATCAGTTAAAATAAATGGAAAGTCTGGTAGTTTCTAACTTGACGTGATAGCGGCGAGCCGCCTGTAGCTGTGAGTGCTGAATAAAACATGGCGGAGTGGGACCACTTTATGAGACGTCTGCCACATTAAGACCGAAGAGCCCTCGCCCTCTCTCTCTCTCTCTCTCTCTCTCTCTCTCTCTGCTGTATAAGAATATACATAAATATTTCACATTTGGGCGGCTTTAATCCATTCACAGAATGTCAATACTGAGCACTTAAAGTGCTCAAGCTGGCGGTCCTGCCGGGTCACAGAGAGCTGCTCTCTGGTCTGCTCATAGAACGCATCACTAAACACTCTGAACAGCAAACGGGAGATTCTTTCTCTCTTTCTGTGTGAATGGATGGAGCTGAAACTGGGTCTTCTTCAGGCAATGAGATGAATGCAGACTAGGACCTCTGACCTCTGAGGTCCTGGCGCGTGAGGAGAACACAGCTGTGTGAAGGGCTGTGAGGAGAGAATCCTGCGGGCCAATCACAGCGTAGCGCGGTCCAGCTCTGACTCTCATCAATGGTCTCAGGCTGGTTTAGTGGATTCAGGAGACAACCTCCGGTTCTGAAGAGTGAATCCAAAGCTTCATGTGTTAAAGCTGCATTCTCTCTAGTGTCCACCAGGGGGCGACTCCTCTGGTTGTATTGAAGTCTATGAGAAAATGACTCTACTTCTTATCATGATGTTGTTGTGGCAAACAACTTGAATAAATCCAGTCGGTTGAAGGAGATGTTTTCAATATGGAATAGATATTAGAGATAGAATTAGTTTTATCTTTTGTTTTTAACGCATCAATGTCGGATCGGTACTCGCTATCTGTCGATGTTCATTTATTGGAATCGGTATTATATGTATTCATATATAACTCTATCTATGTGATAGTAGTTCAGATGAACACCAGTGGAACTACTCGTGTATCCTTCAGGACATATTGTTCCTCCTGCCGCTCTGCACATGAATCACTGCTGCCAATTATGCTTCAGTCGTCACATTTCATCTACAAGGAGAAGCTGTTATCCTGAAATGTAGAAACAAATCTGGATCTCATTTACATAAAATTGGCTTTCAAGCTAAAATAAAAAGCACACTTCAACATTTCAAACCTGGAAAATTGGACAGAGAATCAGCATATTCTGCAGATATACCTATAAATCTATATTCATGGAATCATGAAAGGCAGCCACCACTCTACGCAACCGTGTGTGTGTGTGTGGGGGGGGGGCACAGCAGCGTCTCTCATGAGAGCACACTTTCCAACCAAAAGAGAAGAAACATCCACCGTTTAACGCTCCGTTTAACATCCAAACCACGCTCGCTTCATTAGCATATGAGTTGTTTTTGTTGTAGCCTAAATACTGTCCATAAACGTGTTGTTTCCATCTCTGCGGAGGGACGACTACATAACACTAAAGCGTTAGATACAGTACACTTCCTCCTCTCTCGGGTGAAGGAGACGGATGCCTGCGAGGGTCTTAATGAGCTGCATGAGAGCCGAGGAGTGACGGGAACGTGGAACCATGTAAGAAACATGAGTGTGTTCTAACGTTCCTGTCCTGGAGCAGCTGGGTGTAACCGTTAACGGTGCTTCACTCAGATGATCGCAGACACATCTTTAAGGGAACTCTTTTCAAACGTCGCAAAAAAGAAAGTAAAGAAGGAAACGCCTTTCCATCAACTGGTTTGGAGCCAATGAACTAAGTCAAAGGAAAGTGTAGTTCCATCACATGTTAGCGCTGCAGGCTACTCTTTATCCATGGCTGTAATCTGCCAGTAAACACACACACATATACATATATACATATATATATCTGATCAATTGAACTTTGAAGTTTGATCAAATCTTTGCTCTTCCATACAGCTTCTTCAATGCTGTACTTCAAAAAGATCATAGAAATACATTGATGGAAACACGTAGAAGTGTTCTTAACGTCAGTAGAAGGTGTAATCCCCCAAATGCTCCATTTCAAGTGTTGCATTAAATATCATATTTAAGTAAAAGTAAAACTGTCAGAATAGTAGTTTGGAGTGAAAGGAACACCATTCCAAATGTGTTACTGTGCTTATGTACAATGTCTCGATGACAAGTCCTCCAAACTACATGAAAGCGACCATTATGAGTATTTTCTGAGCAGACAAACCAACACTACTTTGGTTTGGGGAAGTATTGTGGTCGTACTACTCAAAGAGTATCTGCTGCACGATAACAACACCAGGTTACTTCTTCACTGTGGTCGTACTACTCAAAGGGCTCCACCAATCCTTCCCCCTTTAAGTGAAGCACAGGTACCTCAGAAGTATTGTTTTTGTATCAAAGCCTCGTATCTCTTCTTCTTCTCTGCTATTAACACATCAATGAGCCTCACTGTTGTTCCTGCGTCACCACCTCAGAGCCAAATAAGTGGGATTTGTCACTAAGCTCAAAAAACAAGATATCTAATACAGGACTTTTCTATTAAATATGTATATTTAAGTATATGTGCTTGAGCAGTATTAGTAAAAGTATCTGAAGGGAAACAGTTGGGTCAACACTGTCATACTTTAGTTCTTCTACTGTGAGGATGAAGTGAGAGAGGAACCATAAACAGGCTGATGTATGCAGCTCGTCCTCATCAGCTGCTCACAGCTTCATCTACTGTCGTACACTCAGCGGTGGCTTCTGCACTCAAGGTCACAAATTAATCAAAACGTCAATATGTGCAGTCGACATAAGCAAAAAAAAAAGAAGCCCCGCCGCCGTCGGCCTGTCACCTGCACCAACAACATTGATTCGGCGCCTCATGAATTATGCAATAAAAAAGCAGCTCGAGAGCCGCGGCGAGCTCGTCTCCACAGATATTTCGGGAGCCTCTACAGACCCTGGAGGTGGTGTGTGTCGGGCTGTTGTCTTGTGTGGGTGCATTGATAAGTGTGCACAGGTGTTCACAGCAGGAGAGAGGTTCGTTAATTACAACATGGGGGGAACATGCATTGTTTTCCCTCTTGAATCAACAAACTCTGGAGCATCATCTCAGAGCTCCTTGTTTTCTAGGACACTTTATATTTTACTGCTCTGACTGAAATAGCAATAAAAACATAAAACCATCAGTCCGCTCTTTCGCCCTTCAGCCGTACAGAGAGACTCAAACGTACCGTTGTTTTTGTTTCAAACCTGTCAGGAAACACACAGTCATGTTAATCATAACTTACAATCCCGGCGGTGCGAGGAGAGCAATAAAATCAAATGAGGCTGAAAAAGGCTTAATAAGTTTCAATATTCGCAAATGTCAATATGCCTTCATGGCTCTTCCACAAGGTGTTAAATTGGACTTTTCTTTCTCTCCTGTCTCCCCAGATGGAAACTGACACAGGGTGACAGCGAGGGAGAATAATAATGATGGAAGGCAGAGCGATTCGTCCCCAGCCGGAGCCACAGCATCCCTCAACCGCCCCTCTGCCGCACAGCGCCGCTCCCTGAAGGATACGCCGACCGTGACATATCGCCGGCGCGCATGACAACCTGGCACGGACCGAACTGAAAAAAGGCTGCCTCTCTTTGCCAAGAGCTGGAACAGGCAACAGGGACCAGAACGCTTCGGGGGGACCAGGCGTCGGTGGGAAATCCACTCTTGTCTCGCTGCATTAACAAATGAGCTTTTATTTGTGAAGTTAACGGCGCTAACAGCTGACTCCATAAGGGCCAATTACTGGCTGAAGGGAATACAAGGGGGGCAAGATGAAGGAGACAGCAGTTGTGGCTTGTTTGCTGGCTGAGCTGTCTCTGGCTGCTTTTGTTCTGGCCTCAGAGGGGGCCGCTCGTTGCCCAGCATTGTGTCGATGTGAGGTACGACCCTGGTTCTCGCCCAGCTCTGTTTACGCCGAGGCTGCCACCGTGGACTGTAATGACCTGGGCCTCTCGGTGCTGCCGGAGACGCTCCCCTCGGAAACACAGGTGCTGCTGCTGCAGACAAACAACATCGTTAAAGTGGAGAAAACTTTGGAATACTTGGCCAACATCACTGAAATCGACTTGTCTCAGAATAACATTTCCTCTGTGAGCGATGTTTGTCTGGGGTCTCTCCCCCGGCTGCTGTCGCTCCACATGGAGGAGAACTGGATTCAGGAGCTGTCTGACAGCTGCCTCGCTTCCTTGCCCAACCTCCAGGAGTTCTACATTAACCACAACCTGATTTTCTCCATTAACCCCGCAGCATTTCGGGGCCTGAGTCGGCTGCTGAGGCTCCATCTCAATTCCAATCGACTGACAAGTATCAACAGCCAGTGGTTCCAGCATCTGCCCAACCTGGAGATATTGATGTTGGGAGACAACCCCGTCATTGAGCTGTCAGACATGAACTTTAAACCCCTGGCGAACCTCCGGAGCCTCGTGCTTGCCAAGATGAATTTGACTGAAATGCCGGACAATGCTCTTGATGGCCTGGAGAATTTGGAGAGCATCTCATTCTTTGACAACTTGCTCAGTCGAGTCCCACAAGCTGCGTTGACGAGAGTGCGGAATTTAAAGTTTCTGGATTTGAATAAGAACCCCATCGAGAGGATCCAGAGAGGCGACTTCATGGACATGATGCATCTCAAGGAGCTCGGCATCAACAGCATGCCGGAGCTTGTGTCCATCGACAGCTTTGCCCTGAACAACCTGCCGGAGCTGACCAAAATCGAGGCCACCAACAATCCCCGGCTGTCCTACATCCACCCCAGGGCCTTCTACAAGCTCCCCAGGCTGGAGACTCTGATGCTGAACAGCAACGCTCTGAGCGCGCTCCACCGCGGCACCGTGGACGCCCTGCCCAACCTGCGAGAGGTCAGCCTGCACAGCAACCCCATCCGCTGCGACTGCGTCATCCGCTGGGTCAACATGAACCGGACCGCCGTTCGGTTCATGGAGCCCGATTCCCTGTTCTGCGTGGAGCCTCCGGAGTACCAAGGCCAGCACGTCCGACAGGTGCACTTCAGGGAGATGACGGAGATCTGCCTTCCTCTGATCTCGCCCGGGAGCCTCCCGGATCGGGTCGACGTCAGCAAAGGGAGGTCTGTGTCGCTGCACTGCCGGGCGTTCGGAGAACCAGAGCCTGAGATCTTCTGGGTGACGCCGTCGGGTGACAGGATGCTACCCGGGAGCGTGTCCGATAAGTACTACATGCACCCCGAGGGAACCTTTGACCTCTACGATGCCACGGAGCAGGAAGCAGGATCTTACACCTGCATCGCCCACAATCTCGTCGGGGCAGACCTCAAATCTGTGATGGTCGCTGTGGACGGATACGCCGCCCAGCGTTCAGATCAACCTTTACAGGTGTACGTCACCTCTGTCCAGTCTCGTTCTGTCAGGGTTTCCTGGGAGAGCACGGGGGGTTTGGTATCACAACTAAAATGGTCAATTTTAGTCCACGGCAGCAGCGACCTCTTGTTGCCATTCACAGCCAGGCTCCCCGCTGATGTCAAAGAGTACCACATCAAATGGCTGAAGCCCTCCACTTGCTACCGGGTCTGCGTTCAGGTCACTGCAGCACAGCCTGGATACAGCAAGGCCTGTGTCAATGTGACCACAAAGGAGGCAGCAGCGACCCCGGGAGGGAACACCCAGAACTGGGACGGTCTCGTGATGGCTTCTTGTGCTGTGCTTTTTATCGTGGTCGCCGTGGCTTGCTCCATCATCTACACATCTCTGTATAGCCAAGTGTTTTACAGGAAACTGATAGCAGACCCGGCTGAGACCCTGCTGATTGCCAGCACTCATTGCTCCTCCTCATCATCTTCTTCTTTCCTGGAATTCGGTGTGTCTGGGATCAAGGTGAGGGCCACTGTAATAGACTTACCGGATGACTCCATGTAAGGAATGTCCTTGTCTGTAAGAGCACTTTGGGATTAAGCGAAGATGGAGAGTGATGGACGCTGGACAATGTAATTTACGAGCCCTCTTTTCAAAGACGTTTGATGGGACATTTTGCACTGGGACTGAAGCTGGGCGGCATCAGAGGAACATTCTCAAACATTTACATAAATGGCGAAAAGCAGAGACTATTTTGTATCTTAAACTGTCATTATAAGCTTAATCAGGCAGATCTCTTGACTATAATCTACATGGCTACTGGTCATTCATGCAGTGCAACCAGAGTGAAGCACAGCACAGGAACTATTCTGTCTGAAATACTTTGCTGAAGACGACTTTGATGTCTGCAAAAAAAAGAAAAGAAAAAAAAGCATTTTCTTTGCTGTGTTACATTAAAACGGTGCCGAGCGAAGATAGTTTATAAAAAAGATATTGTTAGTCTAGTGTACAATCAAGTCGACTATAACGAAAACAATTTTATGAACGAATACATTTTTCATTAAACCTGTGTGGTGTCTTATAACTACAATCTGTTCTTGTTACATTTGGACATTCTTTTACAACAAAACAACTAAACTCTTTGAAATGAAAAAATACTAATTTGTGTGGATGCGGTTCATAAATCTCGTGTCCGAATCCCACAGCAGCAGAATGTGTGAGGTCTGCTTAGACAAACACAATTACAGCAGCTGCCCTTCAAGGCAGGTGCTGTAACACTGTTAGGGAAATGCAATGCAATCTCAAACTGTGTGTGTGTGTGTATGTGTGTGTGTGTGTGTGTGTGTGTGTGTGTGTGTGTGTAAAGAGCGAGGACATTGGCAAACCCCTTGACTTTGAATTGCATTATATTCCCTTTCATTAAAAATCCAATATGGATTCCCAACACAAACCTCAGCGGTGGGTGATGAATCGGCGTCACGTGCAAACTGATGGGAGGCATTTATCAGCGTGACTCAGTCATAGATCAACCGAGTTTCAGCACCTTGGACAGGGCTTTTAGAGCGTGGCCATTTGTCACCACCAACGGGAGCTAAAATATGACCCATTAGAGGCGGGTAGTGAATAGGTCAGCAAGAACCGCAGCAACCCGAGCCATCCTCTCTTCCCCCGGTGTGACCCTGGAGAGACAACGCCGCCTGCTCGCTGCCGCCATCACAGGGAACAGCTCAGCAACTATTGGGCTCGTTTGTTAAGCGCCTCGCATCAATATGGATGGGGGGGAGGGGGGAAGACAAATGGACCACAAAAACCAGGACAAAGTGGTTTCGGTCCCAAAAAGGACAGTGAACGAGAGCGGCTGACGCCTCACAGCGCCGATGTTACTGATGTGCTGTCCTCTCCCCGTACGAGATAACCCCGGACCTGGAGTTCATTAGAGTCTGCTGCGTCTACGCTGAAGAGCATTCTGGGTATTTAGGGGAGCGGCTGCGTGAGGAAAGGCAGGATTATATAAAAAAGGAGATGACTTGTCGTTTTACAGGCTTTTTTTTTCCTGCCTCACTTCTGCTTCAACTCTGGTTCATGGAATGAAATGTCAACGTGTAATCCTCAGCAAACTAAATAAAAACAGGAGAATCTCTTTTCAAACTCTGTCAAAAAATAAAAGACGATACAAGAAAAAAGGTTCCTCCAAGTGAGTAATCGCTCACTGCTGAGGGCGCGCACACAATATGTCGCGTCAGATCCAGTGGGGG